CATTAGCACCTCTAGTAATATATTTACTGAGAAAAATGGTGACGTGTTCAATACTTATTTTATCCACTGTATCTGCTACTTTCTGCGTCATCAAAAACCAATAAACAAATGTTTGTTTTTTAACTTAGGGCACAGCTAAAGGGATGGTTTGGACCTTTTAAAAGCAAGTTTATAAAATTCTGAACACTCAGTATCTTACCTGTTGTAGATAACTCTTTGAACTGTTTTTGGGGAAACAGACAGATCTTATGAGCTAAAGACTAGTCTATATGCAGCTAATACATGGTGGTTACACATGGACGTGGAGTAAGAAAATTTTACTTGGTAAGATTCTTGAAATAAGAAAAAAAATTGAGTCAAGTATTTCAAGAATCTTACCAAGTAAAATTTTCTTACTCCATTGGCAGAAATTTTGACTTCATTTCAGTTAAATTTTCAGACTAACAAGACAAATAATCTTACACATTCTGAAAACAAGATGATTATTCTTACACAATCAGTTCTTGTTTAGTAAATCAGTCTCAAAACAAGATCAAAAAAGACTTTTTGGCTGATATAAGATTTTAAAACTTGGTTAGGTGGACAGTTTTTGCAGTGAAGAAGTCTCTTGGAGGAGAGATGAAACGTTTCATTAGAGAAGAAACCRTTCAGAAGACCTATACAATTTTTTTCTTCTTCTTGATGTTAATGGAAGTATGAAAATAACTACAGTGCACGTGTCAAACTAAAGGCCCGTGGGACACATTTGGCGATTATTGCTGGGTTTCAGTCACGTGACCCGGATGACAAGTAGAATTCAGATGAGGAGCAGGAAGTGATTTGCTCTGGTTCAAAACACAGTGAAATGGATCACAGTGAGCACACTAATGCCTTAAATGGGCTGGTGCAGATGGGATATTGTGAAAAATGATGTGTAAACTTAGGATCTGATCCATATTGTCTTAATAAAAAAAGACTTGTTAATCTGATGATTTATCGGTGTCGAGGAGATTGACATGCCAACTTTATAAAGCACTTAAACAACCACAGGACCCAACTATCTGGTGCTGCAGAGCGAGGAGCCAGATGAAATCTTTCAAAAACCTCAAAACTACAATAATTTAATTTCACGTTGGGTCAAACGTTTAGGATCCAAAGAAGCTTTAACCCTTTTGTGCATGAATTACGATAAACTCAGTCAGGATGTTTTTACTAAGTGTTTTCATACATCCTTAGGGATGTAAAACAAGGTTTGAAAAAAAAATTCTCTCTTTATTTTTTAAAGAAATAATTATCTGTACACTCAAGTGTACTTCATGCGTTTTGTACTGTAAAAAACATAAATGTAATAACATGGTGATTATATAGGCATAGTTGTAATTTAGTTATACAGTTGTAATATGATATTCTGTTGCAAGGTGGTTCCTCCACTCCTCTGTAGTCCTCACTATAAGAGCTCTATTGATAAACGTAAACATAAAATTATGTTTTCACTAGACGTTTTTATTCATSTTTAGGGACGTAAAACAAGGTTAAAAATAAAGATATATTCTCTCCGAACTGAGGAGGATAGTGTGACACAAGTCACAGTCTGAACTAGGGCTGCACAATATATTGAAAATGGATCTTCATCGCAATAACTGCTTGTGCAATGTGCTGCAACAAATGCATAAACTGTTTGCATTTATGAGTTTTGTCACTCAGACAAAGCTTGAAGTGTTTCACCAATCAAATGGAGCCCTTCATATATTACTCTTCATATTTTTAAAAATTCATGCCAGAATGAAAATGATTAGTTTTGTTTCTTTGTTTGTTTGTTTTTTGCTCAGAACTCAGAGCAGAAAACATCAGAACTACATACTTATTGTTCATTTATCGCAAGTCATATCGTCATCACAATATTAAGCGCTGTTATCACACAGCAGGTTTTCCTGATGTCGTGCAGCCCTACTCTGAACTCCTCATAGAATCTTGACTGTAACTGTTTTTTATCAAAATGTATTCTTTTTAAGTTTCCAAAATGAGCATATTCTCTCATAGCAATCTCTCTTATAGCATGTATAATATAT